TCTGTGGGCAGTCTGTGGGCAGTCTGTACTTGAAAGGTTCCTGAGCGACAACTTTGACCGTGACCTTTAGACTGGAACAATGTCCCAGGAGTCAAAGCCATTAAACACTAACCCACCGTGCTGCACTGAGTCCTGGCCACTAACTGGAGCCTGTGTCTGTGGACTGAGGCTGGTGATGTCACGGAGCGGTCACTGAGATCCACGAACCTCGTGACCTCGTGACCTCGTGCTGCCTGCTCTGTCTGTGGCCATGACATGTTTCATGCTGAGGTCAAAGGTTACTGGGGTTAAGAGTCAAATGTCAAAGGTCGCTCTGATGTACAGCTAGAATAAAGCCACCACTTACTGGACACAACTTAGTCCAGTCTCACCCGACACTTGTCTGACTAGAGCGCCCCCTTCAGCATCAAAACCTCTAAATATATTAAAGAATGAATTCATTTGTGAAGTTAATCAGAAAATTGACTGTAAATCCTCATCGTTCCTCTGATGCAGGACACAGTCGATGAACACCTTATTTACACACGCTGTGGGAAGGTTCTGTCTGATGGAAACATCTCCATCTTATATTACCATCTCAGTGAGGACAACAGGGACTGGAGGAGGTCCAGATCCTCAGCTCCAGCGTTTGACTCTGTCGTCTGACATTCACCACAGGTTTGTGTTCACTTAAAGCCTGGAACAACTTCTGATTGGTCTGTAAATGCACTCTTTAACCCCAGCAGCAGCAGCAGCAGCAGCAGCAGCAGCAGCAGCAGCGTCTGTGAACGGTGCCTACGACAGCCGGTGCCTCCTGTTTGTTGTTCCTGGGTCACGGCCCAGGTTTGTATCCGAGTGCTGAGTATATTTACCTTCTCTCCAGGGCGACGCTTTGCTGCCCTCTGTGAAACAAGGTAGGATTCAATTACACGGAGACCGAGGAACCGACAAGAGCTCGGCCTTGTTCACACGGCGGGTGGGGGGGGGGGGGGGGGGGGGGGGGGGGGGGGACGGCCAGGACACACTGCTGACCACCAGGGGGAATTACCCAGGAGGCAGTGCTCATACGGTTGTAATTAACGGCCCAGGAAAACCTGATGAGGCTGAACTGCTGTGAAACTGTTCCTAAGAACCAGTGCCCCGTGTGGCCATTCAGCGGTCCTTCAGCTGAAACTGAGCTACTGTACAAAGGAGAATCAATCAGAACGTGACAAAAGACATTCCTTTGTCTTTGTATGTTTTATTTTTCAGTCTTAGACCTTGTTTTTTTCCAGTTGAAGTCAAAGTCTCTCTCCCTCAGAGACTCCTGTGCAGCTGCTGCTCATCGTGGACTCAGAGTCTGTCTTAAAGACGCCCAGGCTGCGTGTTCTGTGTGTGACAGGATGTGTACACTGTAGTCATCAGTCTGACGGTCCTGCCCACGGAGCCTCTCTGTGCCCAGAGCCAATGAACAGACTGGGGTAAAACCAACACCATCCGTCAGCGGAGCCACTGTCACACTGTTCATCCTGGTAATAACGTCCCTGCTGCAGAGACAACAGGAGGCGCTAACCAACCGTGTTATGAGTCTGCAGCCGCTAATTAATGGGCAACAGGGGGGGGGGGCAGGTGACAGATGTGGGGTAAACCCTGTTTGAGTTCCTCTGTTTCTTATTCTTTTGGACTAGACTGCCCCCAGTGGTTGACCAGATCATTTGTTTTACATCCAGGGGGAGTTTTTTGCTGTGTGTGTGTGTGTGTGTGTGTGTGTACGATGATGTCACAGACACAGCACGAGTGACGACGAGAAAATACGGCTGGGAATTAAAGGAAGACTGCGGTGTTAAGAGGGTCACGTCTGCAGGGGGCGCTGGTCACTGCTGATGAGGAACCAGGTATAAAACGGATGAATTTATGCAGGAGAAGACGTCATTACTGAAAGCACTGACAAATACAGACTACGTAGACTGTCAGTCAGGTCTGCCTCCCATCCATTATTAACAAAGACTGAATTTTTTACTAAATTCATCACAAACAGTTGAATCTAATTCCATTCCATTAATGTCCATTTTCCACAGTTAAAATATTATCAAAGAGAAGGTGAGACACTGATCCACCGGACGTCCACCAACAACAAATATAAAATATGATTTGATTTTTTATCCATTCTTCATCAGACGCCGCACCAACATCGAGGTCAAACATTCTTTAACAAAAGGAGAAAAGTTCAAATAATATATAACGTATAATATAGTAAAACTACAACCAGAAATAAATCATGTTCAAATCAGGTTGAATAAAAATTAAAAATTCTTTAGAAACACGGACTGTAAACACGATGACCTTTTGACCTCTGCAGCCAGTGTTCGCATAAAAGTCTGAAACAGTTTTTCTGTTGTTTTGATTGTGGAGACTGAACTTCTTCACACTCTGACTCTGATGTTCAGTTTGTTAAACTCTGAGTTTCAGCCAAAATCAACATGAACAACCGTTTTTTTAAACTCCACAACAAAGACAACATTTTCCTTGGATGATGTGAAGAGGCGTCACAGAGACAAAGACCCTGCAGTCTGAAGGTTCTAACGTTGGCCAGCACCAACATGAACCAGTGAACCTGGATTAACATGAAGAAAAAAAACAAACCCACTCTGTTGGTTCTGCTTCAGCTTTAAAAACATGACGTTTGTGTCTGAAGTTTTAAAGCCTTCATTTCCAAATGTGTTTTCTTTAAAACTCACAACAAACGCCAGCAGGGATTCAGTTCCAACAATTAAATCAAGTCCCTCACTCTCCAGCACCATCGCTGTTCCCTGCCCCTCATATTTACACTCATCTCCATTCAGCCCCCCCGCTGCTCCCCTCAGGCCTTGGCTCTGGTCAGTGTGAATCAGCTCTGGCCACAGTCTAATGGTCCGTCCCTCAGGCTCAGTGGAGTTGAACCAAACTGAGGCTCCAGACGACCGCCAGAACGCCACGTCCACAGGGTAAGAAACTACATCTTCATCCTCCTCCTCCTCCTCCTGATGATGACATCCCCTTTCTACAGGCTGCACTTTGACCACGACGTTCAGTCGTGACATAAACAACCAGGTTTATCTTTAACCCTTCGGTGACTGTGGCTGAGGCGCAGGTTCGCACCAAAAACACCAACTCTTTGTTCATTATTGATGAAGTGAATATGTTTAAAGTTCACAGAGTTCAAGGTCAGTGTGAATGAAGTTTTCCTGCAGCTGCCGCTCCCTCCTCACATCAGTGGAACAGCGTTGAAGTTAAAGCTCAGTTTGTTACTGAAGCTCGAGGATCAGAAGTGAACCCTGAGTCTGTGGTGTCTCTGCTCTGATGAACAGTCTGTTCAATAACAATATTTGTTTTTGGGCCACACGCTCGCTGCCCCGACCATTTAAAGAAATCAATTCTGTTATTGCAGCAGCAACATTTCTTGCCCTCCACGGTTCTTTGACCAGAATTACGATACAACACAATTAGAGCGGCATCGTTCACTGTTGTATTCCCAGCCGCTCCCAGCAGGGGGACGCTGAGAGTGACAGGGAGAAGGCGGGACTTGAGCAGAGGCTGGGAAAGTTAATGAGCCTTATTTTAAGAACACAACACGACCATGAATATTTAACAGCTCGTCTCCACGACGTCCCACCCAAACACTGACTCTGATGAATTTACCGTTCAGAGTGAAAAATGGTCGGCGTAAAGCTGCCAGTGCCAAGATGCCTCTGCATTGTATTTTTTATGCCGTCATTATGGCCGTCATAAAACAAAACCGCTACATTTTTTGTGAAACTGTAAATTATTTTAAAGTTATCACAGAAAGAAAGACATTTTTTTCTTTTCCTTATTTTTAGACTTTTCCTCTTTTTAAGACAGTTTCATCACCATCATCATCATCATCACAACAGACTCATCATCATCATCATCATCATCATCATCATCACCATCATCATCATCATCATCACCATCTTCATCATCATCATCTTCATCACCATCATCATCATCATCTTCTTCATCATCATCACCATCATCATCATCTTCTTCATCATCATCATCATCAACCTTATTTCTTCTCCAACTAAAGTAGAAACTCTTCTTCATCAATAATGATCTTGATTCTCCAACAACCTTTTCCCCCACGTGTCTGAGGAGGACAAGTTTCAAGGTAGCCAGAAAAAGATCCTGAACGATGTGGAGTCCCATGGACTTACTTTGTTGCTAGGCAACAGCGAGGGCAACGGATCCTTACTCAGGAAAACAACTTCACTGTCCACAATAAATAAAGATAGAAGGAACACAGCATGAACCTCTTGAGCGAGGTTAAGTCTCCGGGAAAAACACTCTGCAAACATCATCACAAGTACTGCGGCTGCAGAGGGCGCTGCGTTCTTTATGTTGGTCCGTCACAGGGAGGCTCTGATGTTCAGGTGTGAAAAGCTCCAGAAAAAAAACTTATTTTTTAATTAAAAAAATGCCGTCATTTTCTTAATGTTTTCATGGCTGTTGGTTCGTTCTGAGGTCAGTGAATGCACCACGGTGAGATCAAACGGCTACACCACGACAAACAAAAGTAACTGGGACTCCTTTATCTCATTACAGCAGCAGGAGGAGGAAGAGGAGGAGGAGGAGGAGGAGGAGCAGAAGCTCCGAAGGGAAATGAACACAGTTTTGCTCGGTGTTTTCTTTGTTGCTCGACTAAAAAAGCTCAAATTAATTGCTCTCATCTTCCTCCATAGATTCATTATTCCTGTGTCAAACACTTTAGTCATTCCAAACGCCCGGCACACCTGCCTCCCTCATCTCCTGCACGGAGGGACGGCAGCGCGGCGGCTGAGGTCCAACTCCACCGTTCTCCAGGCACGGTTAAGGAAACGCTTCCCGCCGCCTCCTTCACCGACGGCCGCCTCCCAGGAAGTC